GTCGTCAGCGAAGATGTCCAACGAGAAAGAAAAGCCCACCTGAGCAGGGATGCCGAGACCGACCGTGCTGACGAAATCATCCATTGACGCAAGCTTCAGTAGCTGCACGAAGGCCATGGCGAACTTGCATCCTGGAAGGACGCCCTGGGACACCGTAACGGCATACGACGTAGCCTGCTGCCACACGAGCCTGCGAGGCGCACGATACATGCTCAGAGCACAAGAAAGCAACTGACGCGGAAATCCGTGCTTGGCCGCCGCCGAGACGAGCCTTCGCCAACAAATGCGGTCGAAGCACTTCTCGACATCAACAATGGCCGTCACGACACCTTGCTCAACCGCCAGTGCAGCTTCAGCCCTCACCAGGGCCCGCGTGGCCACATCCAGAGTGGTCTTGCCTGAGGCCAGGGCGAAAAACGGCCTGTCGTGCTCCAGCAGCCAGACCCGCAGCTGCCTGCTGCGAACCTGCGACCACACACGGTAAGCCGCCTGCAAAAGAGCGATGGGCCGCCATCCACCTTTGGGCTTCGCCAAGAGCACAATGTGGACGGCGGCCAGCTGCGTAGGCCAACGCTCCCAATGCTCCGCCAGCCAGAGCACATAGATGAGCAGTGAAAGGGTCTCGTCCGCGAGCAGGCTGAGGGAGCGAGGCGCCAATCGGTCAGCACCTTGCCCAGCGTGCCACTTGAAGGACTTTGCCGCCGCACGCAGTTGGCCAATCTTGGGCACAGGCAACGAAGCGCGCGGCAGGCGTCGAATATCATCAAAGAGCTGCACCGTGTCGGGGAAATCCGCCAGGTGCCTCACCACAAACACATCAGGTCCAGCAGCAGCTCCATGCACCTGATCACGGGTGGGAATCACAGGGGCAGGGCGTGCATTCCAGGTGCGAGACCAACCGTCCATTTGATCATCCGCAACATCCTGAGCCAAAGTAGATGGCCTCGCATGCCGAGCCACTTGGGAATGCCGAACACCCGACGGCTTCGTGAAGCTGAAGAGCGGCTTGATGCGAGACTCACGACAGTTGGCAGCCCACCGTGCAAACTCTCTCCTGCGCTCGGCCATCGCCGCCTGTTCCAGGTCTCCAGCAAAGGAGCGAAGCCAACCAATGACAAAATAGACCGACTCCATCAGTAGGCGCTGAATGCCAGCGAGATCACCTCCCACGATACCCGTAGTGGGCAAACCCACGTGGCCTCCCGACTGCAACATGGTCACACGATCCAGCAGCACCTGGAAATCGCCGGGGGACGCCTCCACGACCTCCCGCGCCATCGGCAAGATGCCCCGCAGCGTGGCCACCACGTGCTGGCACTCGGGCGATCGAAAAGACCATTCGGCGCCCAGGGAGACGAGTCTGTCTAAGCGCCGAAGTAAATCCAGGGGCTGCAGCCTAGCACGCAGCGCGTCGTCAGCAGCCTGAGCCAGGCGTCGTGCACGTCGAGCGTCTGGAGGGGCGGCAGGCCTCGCAGCTGCTGGCGCTCCTCCAGCTTGGCGCCAACTGTATGCCACCTTGTCAGCACGACCACAGTAGCGAGGAGCGTCGACCGCAGGAACACCATAACGTACCAGCAACTCCTCCTCCACGACGTTCATAAACTCAGCGTACAGGTGGTCCAGCCGCGCCTGAGCCTGAACAGGAGTCGCCTCACCTCCCAGTGCAACATCCTCCTCGATGAGATCGCGAGTACGGTCCACCAGCACAGGCGTGACATCCTCCGTCGGGGCCTCCCTCGGAAAGGCCTTCGGCGCCCGCAGGACGAGGAACTTGACCGCCTTGGCCCGCACGTCAAGGGACGTCACCATCGGGAAATGCGGCGACGCAGGCCAACCGTCCACAGGCACAGGCTGCGCCAGCGAGCTCGCAATGGACAAGCTGGCCAGCCAGTAATCGATGGTCGAGTAGGAACCCTGGGCGCTGCGGCACGTGCCCACAGGAAGTTGCCCTGCAGGAGCAGGGGGCCTAGCGACCACTGCAGCAGGGATGAAGTCCAAGAAACCATACTCGCCAATATGCTTCGGATCACAGTTGAAATCACCCGCCATCAGAAACGGCCTGTTCCAACCTCGCAGCGTTGTAGCGATGTCATAGAGCCTCATCACATTCACGTCGTTCCATCGCCCAACTTCAAAGTAGCATGGCAATAGCACAAGACCACCTCTGATACCAAAATCCGCATGACACGCCACACAGAAACTCGGAATCAGGTCAAAACCTTTCAGTCCAGGCAGCTCCGTCACACTGATGTGCCGCCGAACGAAAATACCCACTCCAGCAGAAGGCCGCCCTGACTCCAGACGTCGGCATGAGGAAATAATAGCATGCCACCCCGATCGCGCTGCCCAGCCTTCAGCACGCCGACGGTCGTCACCATCGATGCGCAGCTCCTGAGCCGCCACAACCTGGATGCCAGGATCGCAATGGGCCAGAAACTCCCTGCACGACGCCCAAGAAGAACCGTTGTAGGTGACGAAAGAGGCCTGCACACGGGCGCGGCCTCGACGCCCACGGCATCTAGCCTTCCATGTCGGTCTCGCCTGCGTCCTCCCAGGCGGCAGCGGCGGTTCCCCCGCCTGCGCGAAACGCGTATGCAGCACCAGGCGGCAGCGCGGCCGCAGGGGAAGCTGCAGCTGCGGGCGAGGATCCTGCTGGGGGCCCTGCTCCAGCGGCGGCGGGGGCGGCTGCGGCACCTGGGGGGGTGAGGGCCGAGGCGGCAGGGAACGCTGTGCCACGCGCTGCGACCTGCTGCCCGATCGCCTCCAGGACATGGATACCCTGGCCGCTGGCGACGCGCGCGGGGGCGGTGGCGAGCGTGGCCTGGAGGCCGGCCAGCGTGGGGGCGAGGGCTGCCAAGTCAACGCCGCTGGAGCTCGCCGCCGAGGCCGCCACGGCCTGCTGAGCAGCCTGGACCTCGACCTCCAGGCTCTTGACCTCCGAGTCGGCCATGCCCTGCTGCCTGCGGAGGTCGTCGACCTTCGCAAGGGCCACCACGAGGTCGTCCGCCAGCTGGGAGGCCCGAGCACGTGCCGTTCCCACGCGCTGCTGGAGGGAGACCAGGAGCTGCTCGGGGGGCTGAGCACGGCGCTCCTCCGCCTCCAGGGCAGCGAGCTCCTGTCGAGCTGCCTGGACGAGCGGGTGCTCCTCGGCGTAGCCGAGCTTCTGAAGAGCTGCCAGACCCTGCCTGGCGCGCACGACTGCGGGCCCAGCAGGTTCTCCATGAGCAGCGCCATCTGGAGGACCACCACGAGCACGAGGAGGGCCAGAGCGGCGGCGGCGGCCCGCGGAGGTGGACCTCGCGCCCTGCTCCGAGGCGGTGGGCGACTCGCGGACCGCGCGCCCAAGGCGGTCTCTGCCGCACTTCCAGCACGTGTCACGGCTGGGGAAGTTGTTGCGGAACCCGCATAGCCTCGATGCCGCACATGGCCAGTTCTGCTGCTGGGGCGGGGCGGCACCCTGCTTGGGCACCTGCTGGGCCATGCCAACGCAGCTCCCACGGTCGCCGTGATGCCCAGCCAGTCTGGTGCGGGCCGCGGCCAGCCGCAGCACGAACCTCGCACGAGACCTCAGGCGGCGCTCCCGCCTATGCCACGCAGGGCTGCGCGAGCGGTCCCTCGACGCCACGATTGCGGGCGCCCGCAGCAGCGGGCAGCCGGCGCGGGGGCTATGGCGCGGGCCCCGCGGCGCCCGCCCGCAGGCAAAACGGCTGCGGGGGGGGCGCGGGGGGGGGCCACGGTGCCAAGCCACCTGGGAGGAGGAGGAGGGGTGGGGAGGAGGAGGAGGGAGGAGGAGGGGAGGGAGGGAAGGAGGAGGAGGAGGAAGAGGAGGATGATGAGGAGGCAGGGGAGGTGAGGAGGGGAGGGAGAGGGGGGGAGGGGGGGATGGGGATCGAAGAGTAGAGGCTGTTTGGCCTGCTTGGGCCTCGGGGCCCTGCGGGGGGACCTGCGGAGACCTCCGACAAAGCGACTCTGCATGCCGGGAGCGGCGGCTGGCTCCCTG